GCTTCACCCAGCCCACAGGAAGCTCCGGTGCTGGGAGGCCTTTCAGACTCGTCCCGGACTGAATTAGGGGGCCAGACCTTTGTCCTCCTACACGATCAGTCATCTGGTGGAGTGCCCCTAGGGACAGGGCATAAACCCGGGAGAGGCAGCTGAGGCCAGTTCCCTGGGGGAGGAACTGGATGGTGAGTCACCAGTAGCCAACACCCCAGCAGCCGCAGAAGCAAGTGCCTCAGCCCTTGGCCCTTGGGCCTTGAGGAGGGTGGGCAGCACCGCCGCATCCACAGTGGATGTTCTGGGCAGCATGGAGGAATGGGGCACTAGGAATCTCGGGGGGCTGGCTCAGTTTGTGGAGGCGTGGGTAGCTACAAAATTTAGGGGCGTGTGCCTAGACAGGGCAGTTTGTCTAGAGGTAGCAGGATAAGAAGGCACCACGTGCCCAGCCAGCATGGCTTAGTGATTGCGTGTCCACGTATGAACCAGGAGGTCACGGTTCAATTCCGAGTCAGGGCACCTTCCTGGGTTGCGGGCTTGATCCCCAGTGTGGGGAGTGCAGGAGACAGCTGATCAATGATTCTCTCTCATCACTGATGTTTCTATCTCTCTCTTCCTCTCTGAAATAAAAAAATACATTAGGAGGAGGAGGAGGAGGAGGAGGAGGAGGAGGAGAAAGCAGGCGGCATGTGGAGGGCTGGGGCAGTATGGGGGACAAGGCAGAGATGACTTGGGGGACACCAGTGGACCAAAAGTTTGGAGGACAGAAGGGGTAGATGAGTCTTCTTAATGCTGTGCCTGCCTGGGCTGTGCCCTGTGGGCCAGGGCCTGGGGGGCTGGCAGGTCTGAGCAGCCTGCGTGGACGGGAAGAAAGCCCCCCTCTCGGCACTGCCGGCTCCTGAGCCGCTAAGCAGGATTAGCCTCCTCTTCCTCAGGAGGGGCTCTGCTCCGGCATCAGCCACCAGCTCTGGCCCTAATCCCCCTCGCTGTCTAATCCACCCACGACTTTCTTAGGCATTAACGTTGGGCTCTCAGCTCCCTAAGCACCACCCTGAAGATGGTAGCGGGGCTCTGCCGGGAATTAGGCCAGCCTCAGAGGATGGCTCTGCAGACAACTGGAGGGAGGCCAAGAACAGCCCCGGCCTCTTCCTCTCTATAGCCCCCAGTTCCCAGATAGGGGTCCCTTCCAGCTCACTGCTAGAGCCAGGGGAGGAAGGGGTGCAGAGAGGGGCTGCAGAGGAAGAGGATTTCCTAGGTGGGTGTGGAGTTGAGAGGTGGTGCGAGACAAGGATATGAGGGTGATTCACAGCCTGGCAAAGGCAGAGACAGGAGAGCTCAGGACACTCTGTGCCATGAGAGACTGGAAGGGTAAACTGAGGCCAGATTGTAGAGGGCCTTGATGCCAGCTGAGGAATTTGGACTTGGGGGAAGTAAGGAGTCATGATGGAAAAGTAGTGGGATTCAGAGCCATTGCATTGGCACCTGGGAAGGACTGATGGGGCTGGGGCAGAGACTGGGGGGTGAGAAGGCTCTTGCTATGATGCCAGCGGCAAGCCAGTTGATGAGACCCAAGAGGACACTTGCCCAAGGTCACCCAGCACCACAGCGACCCATGTAGTGGCAGGGGCTCCACTGCACTTGTGAGGGATGGAGGCAGAGGTGCCCTGCTGAGGCAAGTCGTAGTGACAATGCATTGACTGTTGGTGGCTTCTATTTTAAAAATATGTTTTTATTGATTTTTGCCCTGACCGGTTTGGCTCAGTGGATAGAGCATCGGTCTGCGGACTGAAGGGTCCCGGGTTCGATTCCAGTCAAGGGCATGTACCTTGGTTGCGGGCACATCCCCAGTAGGGAGTGTGCAGGAGGCAGCTGATAGATGTTTCTCTCTCATCGATGTTTCTAACTCTCTATCCTTCTCCCCTCCTCCCTGTAAAAAAACAATAAAATATATTTTAAAAAAATAAATAAATAAAATAAAAATATGTTTTTATTGAGTTTGGAGAGAGATGAAGGGAGAGATAGAAACATCAATGAGAGAGAATCACCCAGCGGTTGTCTCCTGTTTGCCCCCTACTGGGGATCCAGCCCACAACCCCGCATGTGCCCTGACCAGGGGTATCAAACTGGTGGGCAACCTGTTGGTGCCTGGGACGACACTCAACCAACTGAGACACACCAGCCAGGGCTGTTGGCAGCTTCTTAATTATCAGTTATTCCAACTATTAGAAACAGGTAGTGGCAGCCTGGCTGTAACACAGAACAAGAGAGGCCGGGTGGACAGGACCTTCGCCTGCCCCAGGACGCAGTTAGTGACAGCATTGAAATCAGAGAAGAGGAGGAGGCAGGAGAGCCATTTACAATCCAGGAAGGCCACGTAGTGCAGGGGCTACAAGAGGGACCACTGGAGTCTGATGGACTGGCGTTCAAATCCAAGCTCTGCCCGCCTATTTCTAGCTGGACAACCTTCTTGAGCCCCAAGTTTCTCATTTGTAAATGAGTTAATAATGCCAACTCATAGGACCCCTACAGGGAGGGCCATGTAGGAAAACATCCGTGCAGTGTCCCAGTGGAAACCCAGGGCGGGATGGGGGAGGGGGGGCGGCACAGCTACTGTTGTTGCTGCCCATGGCCACTGGGTGGGTGGTCAGAGGGGCAGAGGTTGGTTCCCAGCTCTGTGTGCTTCAGAGCTCTTGAATGCACCTTCCCAGAGGCCGTAGGAGGCGGCTGGGGTCCCCAGACTCCGGAGGGCAGGTGAGTCAGGGTATTGAGCGGGTGGTGGGTGTTGAAAGGCTAGGAGGTTCATCACGGCAGGTTCGTTAGGCTGTCCCAGCAGGCCCCTCTCATTGGGCCCCGCTAATGAGCTTCCACTGGATTATCCGCTCCCACCTCCACTCGGTTTACTCTGTCAAATCGAGTTTGCATTTTAAATGGGAATTTGACAAGACGGGCAATTTGTCTGCTGACGAGGTTAATGGGTGTTAGCCCTGCGGACGGAGGAGAGAAAACCCAGGCCCCAGCCTCGCCTGGCCTCTGCCCAGATCAATGACCCCGGCTGCTGCTCCTCCCTCCACTGTAGTCACTCTGGCCCTCCCAGTGTCCAGAGGCTGTCCCCAAAGCACCCTGCCCTGGGCCACCATCTACTGCTCAAGCGGGTGACAGGCCCCCCCCACCTGGATTCAGACAGGGCTCGTGAGGCTCCACCATGTCACCCTCTCAGACCATGGTTCCCAGGTCAGGGCCAGGTTTTCCCTCACCACTGAGCTCCCAAGGGCTGGGCACTGTCTCCTCCCTCCTGTCTCCCTCACCTCCCTCCCTCCCACATATGTGACTTAAAATGAAGCTTCAGTACTGGGGGATAGACTGATTGGCAAGACCAACCACTAGGCCAAGCCCTAATGTTGGGGCTCACAGGGGAGCCGGGGACCCCTTCTGAGACTTCCTGTTGGAGCCCAAGTTGGCCTCTCTACATGGGGTCCTTCCTTGATCCACCGCTTCCAAGGCTGAGCAAGAATGCGGGTTGCTGGGACCCCAGCCCGAGCCCAGGAGCAGCACCAGGATGGGCTTGGGCTGTGGGAGAAGATGCCTCAGCCTCCCCTCCTCCCAGGGGCCCGGCGCCCTTCCCCGCCCGGCTAATGTGCCACAATTACCTCCTAAGTGCCCAAACAAATGTGGCTGCTGGGGGAAGTGACACGAGCTCCAGGTGATGGATTCGTGCCATCGGGGAGCCGGGCGGAGCGGGCCCGAGCGGGGGGCGGGAGGGGCAACACTAATATTGTATCAGCGTCGGTGCGGGCGCCACGAGCCGGTGATGAATATGTGTCACTTTACACGGCGCACACTCGGGGGCCTGGCTGCGCAGGCATGGAAAATAGAGTGTCTGGGATTAATGATATTGAAAATGATAGAGAGCAGATTGGAAATGGCTTCGCCCGCCCGACCCGCGGAGATGGAAACGTACCTCACAGCTATCTGCCCAGCCCGGCCCCCACCTGCCCGCCCCCCCTACATCGCTGCACAGGCCCACGCACGCACCATGAGGACCCAGCATCTCATTCCTCCAGCAGCTCCTTGGGATGGCACATATGGGAGGTACACCTGTGAGTAGAGACAAGGGGCATCAACAAAATCTCAGCCCCTAACTGACCTTTGATCTTGGTTCCAGTTGAGTCTGACCCCAGTCACCCAGTGAACCTTGACCTTGACCACAGACCAAGCCCTGACCCAGGTTCCAGCTGAGGCCTGCCTCTGGCCACAGACTGAGCCTCTCACAAGAACAGGAGGGTTGGCGTAGCGGAGCAGGGCGGGTGCGGGGATGAGGCAGGAGAGTGTGGATCGCTCAGCAGCAGAGCGCATCCCCTGCTGGCGGGCAGCTCAGAGCCCAGGCTGTCACTGCACAGTGTGGACTCCCGGGTCAGTGAGCAAGTGAACAGGTGTCTTCTCCACTGATGTCTTCAGTGTTTAATTATGTTGGTTCTTATTACTGTGTCTGCACACGTAAGTATACATTTGTAGAGGTGTGTGTGTGTATCTGTTCAACCATAAACTTGTGGGGTTGTGTCCAACGTGTGAAGGAATGTGGGTAACTGGGCTTGTCCTGTGTGCCTTGATGTGTATACCTCTCTGGGGGAGGGGGATCTGTGCATGCGTGTGAGTGTGGCTTATTTTAGGCCACTCTGTGCATGGATATGAGTGTGCCTGTGGTGAGTGTGTGTGTGAGTTTACCCACAGATAGAGGAACATCATATGTGGGCATTGGTCAAATGAAACTTTTTAAAAAATCTTTATTTCTGAAAGTATTACATATGTCCCCTTTTTTCTCCCATTGACCCCTTATAGTCCGCCCCCACCCCCCACCCCAGGACTCCACATCGGATTGTCTGTGTCCATGGGTTATGCATGTATGCATACAAATTCTTTGGTTCATCTCTTCCCACCCACCCACCATAGTATAGTGTTTATCACGTTCGCCTAACTAGTAAAACTCTTATGAGGCCTGACTCTGGTCACAGGCTAAATTCCCAGCATCAGGACAAGATGCCTCTCCTCATCGAAATGGAATCTATCACACTGGGATTTCAACAAATTTGCCAGATGGACAGCAACCTGCAAACCATCAGACCAGCCCCAACACCCATCACCATATCAGTCCCAATCCAAACCAAGGTCAGGAGAATGTGCCTACTCCAACATCATTCATTCATTCATTCATTCAACAAATACTTCTTGAGGGCTCATGACATGGCAGATACTGTCTTTGATGAACAGGAAAAACATGGTTCCTGACTTCATGGAAGGCACATCCATCAGAGAAGACAGACACTAAACAAGTAAACAGGTAATAAACCAATAATGACAGAGTGTAAAAAGTGCCACAAAATAAATATTCAGAAGGCCATGATAGAGATAATGGGGTGGTCAGGGTTGGCTCCTCCATATAGGTCACATTTGAGCCAGCCCCATGGGAAGAGAACAGTGAGTCCAAAGGCCCTGGGCATATTGGAGGCCATGTCAGGAGAGAGAAGTCAGAGAAGAAGCAGGAGAGAGGGCAGGGGGGCCAGAACAGCTGGCCTAATCCAGGGTGAGGAGTTCAGGTTTCCTTTCAGTGGGGTGAGGAGCCATTGGGATATTGAACTGAGAGAGTGATATGATCATATCTATGTTTTAAAAGAAAATTGAGTGTACAGCAGGAAATCTTTCAGAGGTTCTGGTATAGGTCCCAGGCCCAGAGTGCACGTCTTCCTAGCACCACTAGCAGTTCCCACACACCCCATCATTAGCAGCAGCAGCAGCACAGCTGGTGCTTTATTGAGTCCCTCCTGGCAGCATCTTGGGGGCCTTTGGGTCCCTGTCCACACTGTCCCCAGTCCTGCCACACTACCCCCACCTGGCTCCTCCCTCTGCCTCACTCTCCAACCATGGGGTCTCCTAAAACTGCTCTCTCCAAGACCACCTGAGTCTTCCCAGGGCCCTGCTGTCATCTGATGAACCAGTGCTGAGAAAGCTCAGAGCCTCCATGAAGAAGGAGAGGAGGCCCTGGCCAGTGGGGCTCATCCTGTGCACCAAAGGATTGCCGGTTCGATTCCTGGTCATGGTACATGCCCGGGTTACGGGGCTCGATCCCTGGTAGGGGGCATGTAGTAGGCAGCCGATGTCTCACTCTCACATCTATCTCCCTCTCCCTCTCCCTTCCTCTCTCTAAAAATCAATAAACATACTTTTAAAAAAACATAGGAGTGGAGGAGAGAGCCTCACACTGGTGGTGAGAAGAGCTCTGTGCAGGAGCCAGAGGCACAGCTCCCGGGGCGGCCCACTTTCAATCGTGGGACCTTTGAAGCCACTCCCCCTCCCCATCCCACCCCAGAAGTGTCCCCAGGGGGTCCTAGCACATTGTAGGCAGGGGCTCACCTCCCTGTCTACCCCCTATGCTTAGCTGATGGAGAGAGGAATACCA